GATGAAGAAATGGAGGATTCCGACGAGTTTATGGTCCGCAAACCCGGCCAGGACGCCTCGTTGCCCAAATCTGAAATCAAACTCGATATCGAGAACGCGGACAAAGACCCTGAGACTTTCCTATCCAACTTCTTGTCAGCACGAGCCTGGATCCCCGCCGACAAGCCAGAATTGCATCCATTTGATTCGGATGAGGATGACGATGTTGAGCGGGCGGAAGCTATCGAGGAAGCATACAACTTCCGCTTCGAAGACCCCAACAAGTTGAACGAGGTGATTGTCACTCACTCCCGTGATCTGACCAACAAGCAATCCGTCCGTCGCGAAGAAAAGAGCTCCCGTAAGAAGATTCGCGACGCCGAGCGCGCGCTCAAGGATGAGGAGAAAAAGCAGCGTGAAACGGAGAAGAATCGTCTTCGCAAACTGAAGACTGAGGAACTCCAGAAAAAGGTGGAGCAGATCAAGGAGGTTGCGGGACTCCGTGCCTCAAAATTTACCGACGACGACTGGTCTCGTTTCCTGGACGCTTCCTGGGACGACTCAAACTGGGAAGCAGAGATGCAAAAACGGTTTGGCGAGGATTACTATGCCGGGGATGAGGGTGAGGATAGCGAAGATGAGGGGGGCAAGAAGAAGAAACATCCTAAGAAGCCTACATGGGATGACGATATCGATATCAACGATTTGGTCCCAGACTACGAGGATGAGGAAGCGCAGCCCACACTCGAACTATCAGAAGCCGAGGATGAAGATGACGACGAAGCTTCCGGATCTAAGAAGAAGAGCAAGGCCGAGGAGAAGCGTATCAAAAAACGTGAGGCCCGCAAAGACCGTCTTCGCATTGACGATGCGGTTGAGCGCAACCTGGATCTCGATATCACCTTGCTTCCAGGAGCTACAAAGAAGAACGCCACACAGTTCCGCTACCGCGAAACCTCGCCGCAGAGCTTTGGCTTGACGGCTCGGGACATCCTCATGGCAGACGACACACAGCTCAACAAGTTCGCTGGTCTGAAGAAGCTGGCCACCTTCCGCGAAGAAGAGCAGAAGCGTCGCGATCAGAAGAAGCTGGGCAAGAAGGCCCGGCTTCGCGAGTGGCGCAAGGACACTTTCGGTGATGAAAATGGGCCGGAATTCAAGTTTGGCGGCGATGTCCAACCTAGTCAGCCCAAAGAGGCTGCTGATGAGGATAAGGTTGATATCAGAGAAGGAGATGGCACTCGTAAGAAGAGAAAGAGGTCGAAGAAGCATTAAACATGTTGCATCTGTCAATCCCTCATTGGTTATAGCTTTTTTCGAATCATTTTATGAAACGAAGCAACCCTTTTTTATTCTGAATTAGAAGACCTAACAGTTCCTTATAGTAATATATATCAACTGTAGGATCATCATGTCGAAATAAGGAAGTTGTAGCTGAAAAGGGAAGAATACCAAATAGACCAGCTTTAAGAAGTGTAAGTATATATATTTGCAGCTTTTCTCGAGAGTTAGAACATAAAACACAATAAAAATCTACATTACAACTCTATTTTACCATCCAGTAGTTAGATTCACAGCCTCACACAGATATTTTAGATTCGATTGAGAATGACTTTCTTTTGTTTGCTTTCAGTCTCCCATACATACTTGTAGGACTTCGTAGCTCCCAAAGCGGAAAGCTCCCATGCGATGCGGGCCCACTCAGGCGCTAACGGTTGCTGGGGCAAACCTCGGGATGTTTTGATTCCAAGCTATAGGAAGCTCCAAATATTACTATTATGACCTGGGCGGTTAAATGGATTGAAGGGTGTATATTGTACAACTACAACTATGTTGTACTCCATATAAAGCAGATGAGGAAAGTGGAGCCAAGTGCTGTACTATTGGGTACCTGGCATTAACATGTGAAGTACCCAGGTACATTGTCTATGCGGCGATCTATCACCTTAAAGTTTGTACCCGCGACACCAAAATAGTAGCAAGGAAAAAATGTCTCATATCAAAGTTTAGGTATCCCTCACATAACTATCGCGGTGTCTTTATTACCGCAGTTGGAAGGGATCACATTTGCTCAATTGAGTTGTTTACATATACTACAATGTCCTAGATGATCGCACGACCAAGAATTGAAAATAAAGAAATAAGATGCTTAGTGTAGGGGGTCGAGGAGGCCTGGGGAGAATCCACTCGCCCGAGGCAAACAAAGGCTACGCTACTCCGTACACATACATACAAATTACATAGGAACATCGGGTCCTTTGAGATCAATTTCGAGCAACTAATTAAGAGCGACACATTCGAAAACATTCAACCCCAGAATGCAAGGTTAGAATGGACTAGCGACGTTGGTGGCAAGTCCGAGATATAATTTTTATGCCCGGTTCGCCATCGGATAGCCGGCCAGCAAAAAGGAGGTTGCCCCGGGCAGTGGAGGTCCGGCATTGGACGGGGAAATATACACCGTACCCCTACGGTAAAATCCACCGGCGCTTGGGCCGTTGCTCGGGACTACAGGATGTCGATGACCATAGTAAAAAGATTGGATATTAATTGATTTTTTAAAGAGAATAAAAATGAATTTACCAAGTGTTGTATTGTAGATAGGGACAGAGACAGTTTCAAAAAGACCCCTATACGCCCATAGCACTATCCTGGGCCAATATCAAGACCAGCTGGCCAGATTGCAGAATTTTCAGTGGATCGGGAGATATCGGCAAGAGGCAAACCAATACAGCACAATAACCGTAAATTACAGTAATATAACCCCCTGGGCTTCCTGATTGGGTCTTAGCGCCCGGCGGTCGAGTATTTTTTTTTCTGGCCCCCCTTCCCGCCTTCTCTCTTCCTTTTTCTTCCTCATTATCCCTGGTGTCTCTTTCTTCTTGACACTCTTTCCATCTCCTCTCTTTTTTTTGCATCCCGTTTCTTTTGCACTATCTTCAAAATGGGTTCCGGTGATGTTAACCAGGCCGACAAGGCCGTCTTCGGCATGCCCGTAAGTGTCTCCCTACGAGCTTGTGAGAGCTGGCCTCGATGTCGCGTGAAGATTCAAAGCGATGAAGATGTCAAGCATCAAATTATCATCGAACTTGCTTCAAAAGCGCGATTTCAAGTGTCACTCATCGCTATCTCAACGTGAATTGAATTGAGCAACAATGCTAACAAGATTTTTCACAGGGCTTCGTTGTCGACTTCCTGAGTACGTGTCACGCTTGATACTTGCAATTGTTACCAATTGCAAACATCAACAACTTGTCCAATATCAATACTAACTCACTATTAGTGGGTGGTGTCTCCGCCGCTGTCTCCAAGACCGCCGCTGCCCCCATTGAGCGTATCAAGCTCCTGATCCAGAACCAGGTTGGTTATCCCACGTCCAGGACCGATTGGAATGGGCCGAAGGCAGAAGATTACGCTTGATTGTGATTTTCAATTGAGTGTTGAGATTAAACATTTGACACGAGCGGTGTTTTTGCATCGATCGCAGCCTGTGAAAAATTTTCTCCCTTGGCCCGTGCCAGTCGGCACGTCAATATTTTCACCAATCCAGCATCTAACCAGACCCGATCAATAGGATGAGATGCTCAAGCAGGGTCGTCTCGACCGCAAGTACAACGGTATCGGTGACTGCTTCAAGCGTACCGCCGCCGCCGAGGGTGTCGTCTCCTTGTGGCGCGGTAACACCGCCAACGTCATCCGTTACTTCCCTACCCAGGCTCTTAACTTCGCTTTCCGTGACACCTACAAGTCCATGTTCGCCTACAAGAAGGAGCGTGATGGATACGGCAAGTGGATGATGGGTAACCTTGCCTCCGGTGGTGTATGTATCTCTGAAACTACTCCCAGTGTTGGACCTCAGCTAACAAAACATTTAGGCCGCTGGTGCCACTTCCCTCCTCTTCGTCTACTCCCTGGACTACGCCCGTACCCGTCTGGCCAACGATGCCAAGTCCTCCAAGGGCTCCGGTGAGCGCCAGTTCAACGGTCTCGTCGATGTCTACCGCAAGACCCTCGCCACTGACGGTATTGCCGGTCTCTACCGTGGCTTCGGTCCCTCCGTTCTCGGAATTGTCGTCTACCGTGGTCTCTACTTCGGAATGTACGATTCCATCAAGCCCGTTCTCCTCGTTGGTCCTCTTGAGGGCTCTTTCCTCGCCTCCTTCCTGCTCGGCTGGACCGTCACCACCGGTGCCGGTGTTGCCTCTTACCCTCTTGACACCGTTCGCCGCCGCATGATGATGACCTCCGGTGAGGCCGTCAAGTACAACAGCTCCATGGATGCTGCCCGCCAGATCGTCGCCAAGGAGGGTGTCAAGTCTCTCTTCAAGGGTGCCGGTGCTAACATCCTCCGTGGTGTTGCCGGTGCTGGTGTCCTGTCCATCTACGACAAGGCTCAGCTCCTCCTCCTCGGCAAGAAGTTCTAAGCGATTCACTGAAAATGTGAGTCTCTTGCCACTGTAGTTATACTGGGGATGCATACCTCCCCCCAGTGTAACAACTGGGTGTGGAATTCGAGGATGTGGGATGGTCAAAAGATAGATGCGTCAAGAAATGGGTCTGAAGGATCTTGAAGCATAGAATGGTTGATTCTTCCCTTTTTGTACCCAATGTACTTTACTGCCTGCAAACTCTTTCGTTTTTTTCACCTTGGTCCTCACAAACATTGTAAATGTAAACAATCGTAAAGGTCTTAAGGGGCTCAGAATTCTCTCTGTACCCTGGATCATTATTTGGTCTCCGTTTCGGGGGTATTATGTTGACTGCTTGCAGCTCGAAGCAGTGGCAAGCAAATAGTTCACCATTTAAATCCTATACTTCTCAATCAATCTCTTAAACTAACTTCACTGAAGCACAGGCAACAGCCAGAAAAGAAAAAGAAAAGAAAAGGCGTCCCAAAGCGGAAAGGCTCCACAGCGGCAACAGCCATGACGTCTAAGTTCCTTGAAGCTACAAAACCCTCTTCATTTCCCCTTGACACCTAAGCCTCCCACTTACCCCATATCAGTTTATCAACATCAAAAATGTCTGCTCCAACAGGAATCCAAACCTACAATTCAGCGCCCGTGAACTCCAACAAGGAGGAAGAAGGCACGCACGCAACAACCTCGCAGCCCAAACCCGCCACCGCAATCGAGTCACTAGCAAGCGCACCCTCACAACCCCCATCAGCACCCGCAACAACAACAGCAACAGCCACAGCTCCCTCCAACCCTCCAATCCACGCAGTCGCCGAGCCCACCTCCTCAGAACCAGCACCACCCCAGCCAGGCGCCACAGCAGTGCAACCAACTCCAACAGCAACAGCCGCACCTCAAGCACCACCACCACCAACCTCTTCCCTCCCCGAGACAGCAACAGCAACATCAACAACCCAGACCCCACCCGCACCCCAACCGGGCGCCGTCCCATCACCATCAACAGCATACACAGGAGCAGGAGCAGGAGCAGGAGCAGGAGCAGGAGTACCAGCTCAATCCACCTCTCCAATCCCTCCACCTCCAAAAGCCGGCGAAACCATCACCCAACCACCACAAAAAGCAACCCAACCAACCCAAAGCTACGCACAATCCTACTCCTACAACGCGCCGACTCTGGGTGCGCAGACCGCAATACCGAACTCGACCTCCTCGCCTTATTCATCTGTGTACCAAACGCAGGCGGGAGCGTACGCTCGTCCGCAGACGCAGGGTCTGCCGCTGCATTACGGTGGCGGTGCTGGGGCTGGGTCTGGGTCTGGTGGTGGGGCGGATAGTATCTTCCCTGATGAGGAGGAGGGGTTTATGGGTGCGGCGAAGGGGTGGATGAGGTGGTCCGGGAATAAGTTGGCGGAGGTTGAGAAGGGGGTTTGGAAGAAGATTAATGATGTTCATGATTAGGAGGTTGGGATAGGGTTGGGTTTATTGGGGTTAGGAGTTGGTTTTGTTTCATTATGGGTTTGTTGGTTGAAGGTTTGTTTGCATGCGAAATCGAATGTAAGAATATTTAGCCCAAGTATAGGACTGCATGGATTCTTCAGATGAGTATAGAGTTTCTATACTAGGATACTTAGGTTACAAGCGAAAAGAAGATGACAATTGAACCGCGCACCATTTGCAACGCGTTGATTTTCTAAAACTAAGTGACTATGTATTTTCATCCCATCCCCGGCTGAAAAGCGTTATGTATTCAGCCTCGAAAACTGAAGCCGAAACCTCCAGGGCAATGCAAGGATGATGAACCTGCAATGTACAACAGACTATGCGTAGAGCACACAAAGATAAACATAAACATAGACAAATCGACAAATAGACACAGAGAAAGGGAGAAAGAGAGAAAGGAAGAAGACCATTTCTCAGTTGGATCAGTGAAGATGACTGAGATTCCATACAAGTCGGAAGGACCAGTGCAATCAATAAAGACGACCAGAACCTCACACCAGATGGCTGAGATCTTCCAAGAATGATTGGGAGTTGTTGAAATCGAAAGCCCATAAAAAAAAAAAAAAAAAGAAGACAAAGTAGAGTATTAGAAAAGTCCGTAGTATGAAAGAAAAAAAAAGAGAAAAGAAAACGAGGAGTCTTGTAGCAGTGATAGCTGACTCGACAAATGCAAAGATAAACGCCGGAATGAGTAGGTGACAGACAGTTGTACTGTGAGCAAACCCACGTAAAAAAAAAGTAAAGAGAGCGGAGAAGAGAAGGGGTATTTGGAATTGTCATAGTGGTAGCAGCGACGGCACTGCTACCCTGAATCGTCATGACAAGTCGTTTCGTGTCAGGCATAAGAGAAAAGTGAAGACTTAAAAACGCCATCTTGGAAACCCAATACCACAAAGGTTCAACCCAACGCCCATATCGAGGTAGTTGCACTGCAAACTAGCCAAATCTTCTGGCTTTGGATTTTTGTTTTGAGAATTGCCGAAAAAGCCATGGCACGCCAAAAGCGGTCCAGACCAGCTTCGACGGCCTTGAATGAGAATAAAACAATAGTGCATCCCGGAAAGAGTAAAAAGAAATAAACGCCGATCATGATGAGGGGTGGGTCATTACATGGAGCCCAGGCGGAGGAGCGCCTCCACAGCAGCGCGTTCCTGGGTGTCAAAGGTGCGGGGTGGCAATTTAGCCACAGATGGACAGGTGGCGGGGAAAATCCCAGATGGTTGAGGCTTTGCGCGCGCAGCGACGTGGCCGTCGATGAAACTGCCGTTGTTGTTCATCGAACGGGCGCGCAAAGCGTCGGCGCCAATTTGTGCCCAGTCCTCCTCATCGGTGTCATCGCCTTCAACCCACTCGTTTTCTTGCATCTCATCGGGAGCCTCCGAGGAAGAGCAATACTCGCCGTCATCACCATCGTCGCCATCAAGAGACATTTTGTCGGCCTCATGTTCCAGCATGTCGAGGTCACCGTGCATGCCGTAATCGTCGGTGTATGAGAAGGCCGTGGATTCGGCAAAGCTCATCCGGTATGGATGACGATTGCCACCCTGCCAACCCGACTGTCCCTGAATCTGTAGGCCACGCTGCTGGAACGAACCTGCAACACTCGAGGGAGGCGACGACGAGGCGTTTAAATCACGATCGCGAGCAGGTTCACCACGACGTCGCGCGTCCCAGCGACCCCAACCAATCTTCTCGAACACCACATCGCCTTGGACACCACCCGCCCCTCCTCCATTTCCTCGACCCTCCAACGCCGCGACAACTAGTCTGCGCGCCTTGGCTGGGGGAATATGCGAAAAGCCAGGGACCGAAGTTGTCAAATGACCCATAACGTGGCGGATGGCCAAGGGGCCCTGCTCAAGCAAGATCTCAGGGAGATGATATTTGGAGAGCATGGCAGGGGTGATCGCGCCGGTACTGTCGAGGTCATCGACAGACAGGGAGACGTGATGACCGTTGGCGTTTTCCGGATCCTCGAGATCAATATCGGAGTCCAACTGGGGAACTGTCGATAGCGGCGATCCTGGCGATGGTGTCGCTCGGTGCTTGTAGGTCTGAGGAGGAAGGGTCGGGGAAATAGAGTTGGGTGGCGTGAGCAGCATCGCAGACACACGGCCGCCACTCAGGCCAGAGCGGCGCTGAGGGATATCAACCGAAGCAGTCTTGCCAGCAAGAGCCATTGCAATGCTGGAGTTTGTCTGGAAAGCCATAATGGATAGATGGGGTTGTGAAAGGAGAAGAACCTAGAACGCGCAAGCCGGGGGTAAATGAGTCAGAAGACCGTCTAAATACGCGACAAAGGAAGTACCACGGAAGGATCGGGTGGCAACAGAATAGTTCCAGAGTGAAATATGTCAGGGTTTCTAAAACAAAGGAACTTACCTTTCACATACAGTGAACAAAGAGACACTCCGTGTAGCGAAGGGTCAACTTTGTTTAGGGCTTCCACGTAGGGGATGCGACGCGGCAAGGGGAGATAGATAGTCGCGATAAGAGCAGATTATAAGGGGAAGAGGTGTCGAAGAGTGAGAAGAGTCCACGAGTGTCCAAGAGTATTGGTGAAGAGAGGAAGAGGGAAGAAAGATAAGTGTGAATCCCTGGAAGTGACTTAGACCTTTGTACCTAAGGTACTCTTTACTAGGAAAGGCCCAAGTATGGGAATTGGGAAAGCGCGTGGGTGAATTGATTGGCGCCTCGTGCAACACACCGGGTGCTTCCGGCTTTCGCTCTATTAACTATGAGAACCCGTTTACTATTAAACTACGACATTATTATCCTCTATTACTCTATTACTCTATTACTCTATTACTCTATTACTCTATTACTCTTTATTACTCTTCTATATTCACATGGATATTTATATAGATAGTTAGTTATATAGTTGTATATTCTACATTATCTAACCCTTTCTTACTATATAGTTACTCATCTTTCATCTTTTCATATTCATACTAAATATGAGTCGATCAAAGGAAATCCATGAAATCCATGAAATCCACGAAATCTAGTAAGTAACCTTGGTCCAAAAGATATCTGAGTAATAGAGAAAATAGAAAAAAACCCCTCATATGCCAAGTTGTTATCGGCCAGTCATGGTGATCCCCAGTGCTCGTGCGCCTTTAATGAACGCTTGCAGCGCTCCAGGGCGTAACCCTATTTTCTCCTATCATCGGCTGATAACCATCCTTCAGGGCACGTGGATTCTTTGTATGGACACTTATTCATAATGTACATGTCATTCTTATTTCTACTGTCTACTGTCTGTTTCCGATCTAGAATTGCCCCTCCATTGTACCCAGGTGTAACTATGTATGTAGGTAACTAGTTATAGTCCATAAAGTAATAGGGTAAGCATAAGCATGCAATGTACTTGTACTTAGGTACATCCACTTTCCCTCGGGTCCCACTATAATATGGGCTCCGGACCCTTGACGTCACTTGTACCAGTGACATGTGTTGGAATTGGGCATTTGCTATTATTTTCTATACTTCTTTACATTCTATACTTCTGCGTTGTATAACAACTCTGCGTTGTATATGCATTCCAAATAACATACGTAATTGATTCCTAACCTACATTGAACTCACCATTACAATCCCGAATATGCTGTCCACATTCACCTTATCTTGGAATGTAAATGCTGCATAGTTGACACCTGCCTGAGAAGCCCAAGCCCCCGTTGCGTACAATCACATCCGAGGAATGCATCTAGTGCGAGGTCCATGTACAACATACAGGCCACTTGTACACTTGTACACCTGTTGACTTGTGGGTTTATTATGGTCTGTGTGTTGGAAATTGTGGACTTGCTCAATTCGGCCATCAATTCCCTCTCCCCCTCCCATTGTGCGGGAAGTAGATGCAGGTGATGAGCTAGCCCTGCATGTCACCTTCTATACCATTCTACCATTCTATGCAATTCTAACCCCTCAGTGGTGCACCGAGGATTTTACTTGTCCTCCTGCTGATCTCGTCGGTTCCTGGTGCGCTTATCATATTTTACCCCGCGATGATCGAAATTCGATTCTGCAGATACCACACATTCTGGTCATAATTCCCTTGAAAATGTTACTTACAATCAGATGATATTTAGTCAACAATCTGACTCAGACTAAAAAGTGATAAGCGGAAAGGGCTATTTTCTTTCTTTCTTTCTTTCTTTTTTTTTTTTTTTTTTTGGCTCTGCGCTGTATGTGGGCATCGTACATTCTATAACTTCTAGTCTCGGACTCCGAAGGATGAGCCCACCCCACGTCTCCCGTTTCTCTCCAACCAAATCTTCAAATCAAAAGACCCCTCTCTCAGATCACGCATATGCCCCACGAAGAGAAACGCGTACCCTTCTGCCTGTGTGGGGGATTGGCCTTCCGAATACTGAATTGAGCAAGTAATACTTGTGTAGCTGAGCCCCTCATAAGCCGCTAGTTTCTCAGCGTCCTCAATTGTCCGTACTTCGTACACAGCCCCGGTGACGGTATCCCCGGGATCACCAGATAGTAAGGCCGGGTAGGGGCCCCAGAGCTTACACTTATAACCCTCAATGTACGCAGGTCGCAGGTAGGGTGTCTGTTTTAGGTCTAACAGATCTATGAGTAGACTATGATCTTGGAGTGAGCCGTAGAAGAAATATGGTCCTGTAGGAGGAGGTCCTTGGTTTTGAGGTCGGGGACCTTGGAGAAAGAAGTGGCTGGGAGATGTGCTTCGCATCTTTAGGACTATGGGTGATATTTTTGAGCGAAGATTCTCTGGGGGAGGTGGGGGGTGGGGGTGGTCGACTGTTAGTTGATTTTGTTGAGTCGGTCATGACTGTAGTTGTTTGAAGTGTCGACCTTGAGTGCTGTTTGTGAGATGTTGTTGCATATGAGGAAGCTATTGAGTGCCAGAGAGAGAGAAAGGTTGATTCCTACAGATCTCCAGAGAGAGCTACTTATCTATGTTGTAGATGGCAGCCTAACATTACGGCCTGAGGAATCAGGTGTTTACCACAACAGCATACCCTAACTAATGTGTTGCACTTATGTGTTTGAACCTTTGTGGGGGAAATCCCTGCCAGTGCGGGGGATTGCAGATGCCTTCATTACTATGAACACACATTATTTTGTTATGATTTTAGGCAAAACAAGCTTTAATTCCTATTAAACCACGATGTTGAAGAACTATGGTTAAATAAACTCTTATTATCGGATAAATAGACCATCTTCATCTATTCTATCAAGGCTATTTCCCCGACGCGGGGGGATTCAAGTGCCTAAATACATAGTTAGATAATTAGAAGAGAAAAAAAGGCAAGTATAAATAAGAAAACAGGTTGTTTTCCAGTAGTTAAAGTGATTTTCTTTTCAAGTTAATCATATATTTGACCATAATGGTCTACTATTACTATGGGTTTGCATTCCTCTGTTTGGCAATCACCGCAAACACAGCAGTGAGCCCCAAATCTTTGGACTCTGATATTTCCATTCTCATTCACAATGATCTTCTAGGTACACATATTGCATATCCCCAAAATTGGAACCTGGAATCATAGACTGACTGTTGAAACAGAAACCGAAAGTCCTCTATCAGATTCAGGAGTTCTGGTGCTCGATGAGAGATCATGGAAAGAAGCCACTGATAGCTGTCAAAAGCTGGGAGAGTCTCTCTGGGGGACTAATTCTAGTTATAGAAATATCCAAAATGACTTGGACTACCTTGTATTCCAAGGCAAATACACTCGCAACCAACGTTTTTGGACTGCCCCGGACCACCACCGCAAGCTGTCGACCATCGACACAAATGGTCGGGTAAATAAAGCCTCTGCGGACGAAAAATTGCCGGTCCTTTGTACGCAAAGTGCTCCGTTTTCTAACAGTACATTCCAAAACACAAGTGCTCAGTGGCAGGTGACTGCCCACTCCAACGATGAATATCTCACTGGGTAGGAACTAGTATTTCCCCCAGACCTCGCAATCAATCCTAACAAAACATAGAATCCGGGATAGATTCAGTTTCCGCTTTCTGGGAATTCGCTATGCCAAACAACCCCGAAGATGGGACTATTCCCAAGTATATAAAGGGGCTGGAAAGAAAACTTCTGCTCTCGACTACGGCTCTGACTGCACACAAGGCACAACTGGTTCAGAAGACTGCTTTTTCCTCAATGTTTGGACTCCCTATCTTCCCAAAAGTACCAAAGTCCAAAAAGATCATCTCAAACCTGTGATGCTCTGGATTCACGGTGGAGCTTTCACCAGCGGTACTGGTAGTGACCCGACATTCGACGGCAGCAATCTAGCATCAAGAGGTGATGTTGTGGTCGTCACGATAAACTACCGCCTGGGAACATTGGGATTCCTCGCACTAGATGATGGCGAAACCAATGGAAACTACGGATTGGCAGACCAGACTACTGCGCTGGAATGGGTTCGTCAGAACATTCAGGATTTCGGCGGCGATCCGGATAGGGTAACCATCTTCGGTCAATCTGCCGGTGCAGCCTCAGTGCGGGCACTACTTGCTTCTCCTCCAGCACGAGGTAAATTCGCTGGTGCAATTATGCAGAGCAATCTTGGTGGCTTGGCTTATGGCACAACCTATTCGAAATACTATGCCATCGCGCAGGCAATGGACGTTGTGGGGAATTCTATTCTCAACGAGACAAACTGCACGGATGCTGCTTCACCAGTCGAGTGTTTGAGACAACTCCCCGCATCGACTGTTGCAAATCTCGCCGACCCTGCGCGGTATCTGGTTGTTGATGGTGTCTACCTCCAAAGCTCGGAACTGGATTTAACAAACTCATCATCGACTGCCAATGTGCCTTTGATGATCGGTACTATGAGAGATGATGGTGCTGCAATGATTGGCTATCCTGCATCGGGACAAACTCTGAAGTCCTTCCTCAACGAATCCAGCCTACCTGACTCGGTTGCACCAAGCCAACTCTTCCCCGTGCCATCAACCGCCAACTCTACACTCGACATCTTCAACACTTCCTCCCGCATAGCTACAGATGGTATGTTCCGCTGCATCGACGAAGCAACTGCACATACAGGCTCAAGGACACATATATTCCCCGATATCTTCTACTACGAGTTCAACCGTTCGTACCAAATGCCCGGCTATTCGCCCAATGCCCCAGTGTGCAACGCTCCCATCACAGCTGAGTTCCCGAATGGCGACACCAGACAAGAGTACTTTAAATGTCATTCTGGTGAGCTGTTCTACGTGTTTGGAAGTTTCCGTCGTCAGGCTTTGCCGTTCCGGGATGAGTTCGATCTACCTTTTGGGCAGTATGTGCTAGATTCTTGGGCGAGTTTTGCTAGGGCGGCTAAACCTACTCCTGACTTGGCTTTTTTGAAGGCAAGAGGATATGAGAATACAACTCGGGAAATTGAATTAACTGGGATATGGGAGTCGTTTGGCAAAGAAAGTCAGCTTCGGCTGCTTCAGTGGCCGTCGACGATGAGGGATTTGGATGAATTGGAGCAATGTCGTGCGTTGAAATTGTCTTTGGACTACTTCAACTCGAATTGAAAGAAGCGTATTAGTTCTTTTGAGTATAGACAGAGGGCTCTGTATCTTCTAGCTCCATTGATGTGATAGACTAGGAAGAGAATGAATATATCAGCAAAATTGTCAAAGTATAAGCATTATAGTGAAAACACATTTCTTTCATAGAACATAGATATATCAAATCCATCAATGTGCTAAGTAAGTACTTATATTGATGACTGTCAGGGCTAATATTTGTGGACATGTCCACTTCCGATGCCATTCCGAAGTACAACATACGAGTTCAAGTACTAGGCTATGTACTTTTTCAGATCTAACAGGACCTCACCTGTATCAAGATCTATATTTAGCCTTGGTCTAAGCCTAATAACCTGTATATTGGTCCATATAAAAAGGTAGAATGAAAAACCTTGTTCTATAGTTATGGTCATTGATAAGATCGGATGTGTCCCTTCCGATATTCCCCCTCATGATGAAATAGACATATCCTACAAGAACTGGAGATCTTCTTCTTCTTATTTTTTCAACTTGCAATTATTCCTCCTTAACTCACAATACCAGAAATGTCTTACCAAATCGCCTACGACACTGCCCGCGCACCAGCCCGCGGCGCCGCGCTCGTCGCATTTATGGAAGACTTCTACCGCACTAGTGACAACGAGTCCCTGCATGATAAATACGTGCAGAGCTTCACTGAAGATGCAACGCTCATCATGGGACCCAAGGAGGCCAAGGGTGCAAGCGGTATGATGCTATCCGATTCCCGCCCTTAACATCGGTGATAGCTATATAGGCGAATCCGGACCCGATTTCTATTTCTAGTATTTCGACGCAGAATATACATCTGCATTGGGTTGTACTCCAGCTAACAAAGTCAACACCAGAAATTCTCCACCTTCGCCACGGTCTTTGGACACATGTTGCTTCGCGCCGACACACGCCGACGCAGATCTACTTCGGCGGCGATGATGAGATCATGTTGTACGGTGGCGTGAACTATAGACTCAAGGTTAACCCCGATAATGATGTTTATGTGCCTTGGGCTGGACGGGTTGTGTTTGCGCCCCAGAAGGGAAACGAGGATATCAAAATCCAGTTCTATCAGGTTTATTTGGTGAGTATATCGTGGTGCTGTAAGGTGGTGTTCGTGCTGATTGATTGTCGTCTAGGATACTGCGGCTCAGTCTGGAAAGAAATGAAGTAGATTGGAGTGTGAGCCAACATAAGACTTGTCTTGTACATACATAAGAACAGAGTTGCATGAATTCAATAGCAATGATTAGATATAAATTGATTTGGCTTTTGGAACATGTCGAACTATATCAAGTGTAAGGCTGAGGATCTGCTGGTAGCTAAATGATATCAGACGTCTACATCTACACCTACAACAGAGAGGGAGAGAGGACGGAACAGTTTTGAAGTGTTTAGACATGCTCTTTATTTCCAGGAGACCACGAGAGAAAAAAAGGGACAAAGACGCCGTAGGGTTGATCGGGGTCAAAGAGGTGAGGGAGATCATAAAAAAACATGTCAAGGGAAAAAAGATCCCCTCCCCTCGACAAGAGAGAGAGGGGAAGGATTGTGTAGAACGTCTCGTCCGCTCTCTTCTCTCGTTCAAGTCTCCGGATAATGATGCCTCATCCTCATGCACTCTGCACCGCCCATATCTCTCTCCGCTAGTAGCCCCGTCTGGTCGTCAGAAAAAAAAAAATATGGAGTGGAACAAGAAAAAAGAAACAAACGTAAAGTCGCGCACGGGACCGCAAGCTCCGAATTTTTATTTTTGTGCCGTCATTTCCAATATCTTGCCGCCGTAGCGAAGACAAAACCACAAAAACAAACGACTTATCCCCGAACTGTTAAAAGCCCATTGCGATACGTTTATTCCTCATCCGACTCCTCCTCCTCATCGACGGTGGTCTTGGCGATACGGTCCAAATCACGCTGGCCACTCTGAGTGATGCGGCGACCACCCTTGTCCTCATCGGTCTCGAGGACACCGATCTTCTCAAGAGCCTGGAGGGCCTTGCGGTCGACGGAGCCGGAGGCATCGACGTGGTGGGCGGGGCGGGCACCACGGTTCTTGGTGGAACCGTGAATCTTGCGGAGACGGCCGACACCGACGGTCTTGCGCATGTAGATGTGACGGGCACAGGCGGCGGCGCGGACGTAGAACCTTTAAAAAGCAAGAATGTCAATTGTTTGCTCGAATTTTCGTGGCTTGGTATTTGATGCGGTCGTACCAGTCAGCATCCTGGGGAGGAAGCTCGTTGGAAGCAGAGGTCTTGACAGTGTCAACCCATCCGGGGATGGGGAGCTTTCCCTGACGCTTCAGGAAAGCAGAGTAGGCAGAGATGAACTTCTGCGCCTGTGTGGGGGAGAAAAGTTATATGTTAGTTGTAGCTCATCAAGGTATATGCGTGGATCGGCCAAAAGTCTGTGGATTTGCAGATGCGGCGGGTTCGTTTCTGGAAGCATTTCATCATTCGTCGTACGGAGTGTTTCGCTAGTATGCAGTCGTTGTATCGAGTACTCCAGGGCGAATACCGACAGATAGATGGATCTACCATCCAATATTCGCCCCCTCAAAACATGCATGCACATCCTTCAATATTCGACATATTTCCCATAGGCAATGAAACCATTCGCCTACTGCGTGCGTAATCCGACGCATTTCCATCTTGGCGATATGATCCGATCGATGTTGTGGTATCCGTGCATCCAGAAACGAACCGTCCACATCACGCAAACCAGAGCTGGCCGATCACCTAAAATCGAGCAGGACACTTACTTCCACATCGCGAACGGTAACACCACCCATTTTGGCGACTTGTCGAGGGGTCGAAGGGTAGGGATTAGAGAGAGAGAGGCGTTGGGCGTCGAGGTGGGCAGGTCGAAGTCGAAGAGTCGCTCAAAATTTCAAGACACACACAACTCTGGGCGGGTTGGGTCTGTGTGCCGTTCGCTTGTCCATTTTGGGTTAGCCGTACCCTAAGCTGGGTCATGTGACGTGGCCCGATTTCTGCCTGATAACTATGGCTCCAAATCACATCCCTTGGTGCCTGATGTTACAGGCATGAATTATTTGACATAAAGTAATTGGTGATGGATGAAAGATTATTTGAAGAGTTCCCGGAACGATGTCATTTTCTCATGTTCTAATTATACATCAATTAAAGTCTATCTCATGGCAGTTGTCATTATTCGTAACTTTGAAACAATTAAAGCTGTACCCGTTTCCTAATCCCTTGATCCATATGTAGTCTTCGCCCGTATCAACGCCTGAATCATTCCCAATTACAGCGTGGGCGCTCTCTTCAGCCCAACGCAATATCTTACAAATAGAGTGTCAATGAAATGACCATGTCGGATACCAGGAGGTCGGCACCGGTTGAACTCATCAATGGCGTCTTGCACACCAAAACCAAGGTGCTCGATCAAGTAGCAAGCGATCATAAATCCAGTACGGTTGTAGCCATAGTGGCAGTGGACTCCGACCACTGGACGTGGTAGAAGCTTCTCTTCCTCCGTACGCTGCTCCATCTTCTCATCAATATCCTTTTGAATGCTATTGACCAGTGAGATAAAGTCGCGTGTCTCGTCTGGAGTCGGAGGAATCTTGGATATAGTCGGGTGCTTGTAGTAGCGAACCCCACCCTTCTCTAGTTCGGCAGGGTTGTAGACAGGACTTTCATGACTGATGTCTACAACAGCGTGGATACGTCCACGGTGCTTTGCCGAGAAAGTCGCAGGGTTGTGTTCCTCGTCAACCTCGCGCAACATCTTGAGCGCGGCAAATGTGTTCGCAATTCGTTCCGAGACTGGGGCAACCTTCTTCCATTTGGCGAGGTTCTTAACATCCCACTTTCCAGATGTGTTCATGTGCTGCAATTGCCAGCCCAGACCGAGACGCTGGTCGACATTTGACGAGAGGAAATCCTGGATAATCCCTGCAAGAGTACGGTAGGTTGCCCGGTCGTAGAGCAGTGCATGAGATGCGGGCGCTGGCAAAATTGCCGATTTGACCACTCGCTTCCGCTGGTCAGCCTCCAAATGCTTCTCGGAGACCTGCACACCAAGCACTTTCTCGTTGACGCAATCGCCGACTGGAGTTGACATCTGGTCGTGGACTCGCGAAGCATCTGGGATGATGCTGCTATCGCTGGTGTCAATCGTGGTATGGGCTGAAGCATCACCAAAGAATTTCAAAAGCTTCTGCACCTCCACCGGTTTTGTCACAGCATCCGTCTCTCCTGCGACCAACAGAACTGGCATGCGAATTCCCGCCCAGACCTGTTGACCAGGGAGTCCGCCAATCGGGTGGTCGCCATTATCGTAGGTGGGAAGTGTGCCCCACGCCATGCGTCGCCAAACAGGGGTCCGACTTTGCTTGTTGAACCGCACCTGGAGGTTTCGGGTTTCGACGTCGGCAGCGACGCCGACCATCCGCATAACACTAGCACTTTGTTCACCTCCACGTCTGTCCCAGCGACGCCAAAGATCGAAAATTAGACTAGGAATATAGAGCGCTCGGCGAAACTTGGTAGTGTCTTCCGCAGATGGAGGATCGGCTCGAGGGCACACAGCTACAAGGCCGACTATGTGCTCTTTCACCTTTGCGCCAATGGACGATGTCGACGAAGCCAAGAGCGCAGACAAGGAACACCCGAGACTGTGCCCCACCAGAATGACTTCCTGACCAGACTCGCGGTCCCGGTGCTGATCAATGGCTTCAGCCAAAAGTTCGGACAGAGCCTCCACAGTGTATGCATTCCAATCCGTAGGCTCAAACTTGGACAGTCCGCACCCGGGCAAATCAATACCGAAACACGAAGAGACATTAGACAGGCTGGTTAAGAGGTGGTGAAATTGTGCAAGTGACCCGCCTAGCCCATGAACAACCACGACCAGTGGGACAGGAGTTGGTTTGGTCGGGAGCCGAGCTAGGTGTGGATGTGGGCTGTAGAAGGTGCGAATGGCAGGATAGGTAGCTACCGGGGTAGTGTAGGAGTTGTATGTGGTGAATTTCCTGAGAATGCCCGGGTCGGTTTCGTATGCTGTGTGATTGTTAATGAAAGCCCCAAGCGAAAGATGAGCTATTCACCCACCATCAGAGCTTTGCTGCTGAGTGTCCGACTGCCATTCTTTCGTCTTGTAGCTGGGGTTGGTTCCATGTCGCAACGATGCGTTGCTATCGTAATCTTCATCTTCATAGTCATCCTCTTCCGAGGAACTCAGAGTCTTCGAAGATTTGGTCGAGCTCTTGCGAATGGCGGGACGTTGCGCACGAGAGGCTTTTGACCCTGACCGCTTGCGCCTCACCAGCGGCGACAACAATCCACATCCAGTCATGGCGATCACACAGGTAGTTAAGAACACAACCTGACCCCAATTCACATTATCATTGCGGTAGAGGCCGCGAAAAGAGCTGGCGATGGAGGAGAAAGAAAGGTTTTGGGCGGCTTCGCGCACCGAGTGAAAGAATCGCAGGACAGCCGCGACACTTGAGGGTTTAGATTGAGACGCTAAAGAGTCGTAGAGGGCGGAGAAAGCGTCCGACCCCATGATTAAGTACCGGAGGGGCGTTCTGGGCGCTTTCAGAGCCCCCCGATAGTGACTTGGCCAAAAATCACGAGACGCCGCTCCCTATGCTCTTTGGATGTAGGGGCAAACAACGTTGAGACCAATAAGCGAGGCTAGATCGACAACGTTGAAATGAGTTGTGAGAATAAGAAAAAGTACAAAAATACACAGAGAGTTCAGCTTCGGCCACTCACAGCCTTGGGAGGGGCGGCGTGGGGGTGAGTCATCGTCATCCATTGGTCCACTCTATTTTTGCCACAAGTTTGGGAAGGAACTTGCTTGATTATTGCATTTACTATGGAAGGATAAGTACTTCTTGAAATTGTTGATAACTCTTTGTAATCTATTTAGGCATGTCTTCCAAGGTTGAGCATAATCTAGTCTTCTTTTGTTTTTATGTATGTTGTATAGGTATCCCTTGCTCTCTTATTGCCCCCCTACGATGTACTATTGTATACAGTATGGTTCCCAAGATGTCGGTATTGGACTCCATTTCATAGTACCCCCGGAGCCAGCATGGGTGGCTTCTTACTTACTACTGGCCAATTTCAAGCGGGGCCACGAAGATCATATCGAAATCGAATGTTTATCCCTTTTCTAGAACACGGTAGATCATAAACATCATTTCAACTGCCTCGAAATATGCTACGGAGTATACACATTTACACTCAGGGGGCATATCATAATGCTTCATTAAAAGAGATCCGTCATGGCTCCCTGTGATGCATCACTGACCAAACGTGCGTACTTGGCCAACACACCACGAGTAATTTGCGGTGAAGGGGGGTCCACTGGCGCCGTCTCTCCTGAAGCTCCTCATCCGAGACATCCATTGAAAGCGAGTTGGTCTCAGCGTCGATGGTGACGACATCCCCATCGCGGACCAGCGCAATCGGACCACCCACGGCAGCTTCGGGCACAATGTGGCCAACAATGAAACCGTGGCTTGCACCTGAATACCGTCCATCAGTAATAAGGGCCACGTTGGTCAACTTGGCCCCCATCAGCGCGGCGCTGGCCTTTAACTGTTCCGGCATTCCGGGCCCGCCCTTGGGGCCCTCGTAACGTACGATGATCACGAGGTTTTCGTCGCGCGGGATGCGGCCTTCGTTCAGGGCGTCATTGAGGCGGTGTTCCTTATCGAAGACACGAGCCTTGCCAACAAACCGCAGCCCTTCCTTGCCGGTAATCTTGGCGACGGCACCGCCTGGTGCAAGGTTGCCACGTAAGATCTGCAGGTGGCCGCTCGTCTTGATTGGGTTGTCCAATGGGCGAATCAGATCCTGTCCTTCGGACAGGGATGGGAATGAGGCAACGTTCTCGGCTAGCGTCTTTCCCGTCACTGTGGGAATATCTCCATCGAGCAGACCCGCTGCGATCAACAGCTTCTGGACCGATGGGACACCTCCGATCTCATACAGATCGGCCATATAGTACTTGCCACTGGGTGAGAGGTTGGCAATGAAGGGAATCTTGTTGCTGACACGCTGGATATCATCCAGCGTCAAATCAACACCAGCCGTCCGAGCCATGGCCAGGAAGTGGAGAACACCGTTGGTGCTACCCCCCAGGGCCATAGTCATAACAAGAGCATTTTCAAAGGACCGCTTGGTCAGTAGGTCCCGTGGCCGAATGTTCTTCTCCAGGCAAACCTTGATAGCATCCGCAGCACGAACGCACTCGCGCATCTTGGATGGTGATTCAGCAGGCGTGGACGATGAGCCGGGTAGGGACAGACCCATTGACTCAATGGCAGTGGCCATGGTGTTAGCCGTGAACATACCACCACAGGCGCCAGCGCCAGGGCAAGCATGCCGTTCCAAGTCATCCATGATTTCATCCTGAGACTTGGTTTGGTCGCCGCCGTCGTCGGGCTGGCGCAGAGTACCGTACGCGTAGGCACCCGCAGCCTCAAAGCATGTTGAGACATTGATAGGTTTCCGCAAGTGCTCGGAGTAGCCGATTCCAATAGTTCCACCGTAAATCATAATTGAGGGGCGGTTATGGCGAGCCATGCCCATTACGACACCGGGCATGTTCTTATCACAGCCGGGGATAGCAATACAGGCATCGTGGTATTGGGCACAGGTTACAGTCTCGATACTATCGGCAATGACCTCTCGGGTCTGAAGAGAGAATCTCATTCCTAGCAGGGGTTAGCTATCTCGTTTCCTATCGGTGAGAATTGACGGTGAAACTAACCTTCACTGCCCATGGTGATCGCATCCGAAACACCAATCGTGTTGTACTGCCACCCCAGCATTTCTTGTTCTAGAACTGACTTCTTGACGGTCTTGGCCAAGTCCATCAAGTGCATGTTACATGGGTTCCCTTCCCACCATACTGAGGCAATACCGACATGTGGGCTCTTGGCCATCGCTTCCTTATCTGGGACACCGGCGGCATAGAGCATAGCCTACAGCGGTCAGCAATGAAGCTCACGGTATTCTCATTGATAACCTACCCGTGCACCGGGGAAATCATGGCCTTTGGTGATAGTGTGGGAGTGACGATTGAGTGCGGGGGAGCCATCCGGATGCTTCGCATCTGTGGGCAAAGAAGGGAAATTGATGTATTTGGCCTCACTGAGAGTGCTAGGCACGGTTGGCTTAGAAGGATCCATGATGATATATGAATGAGATGGAACAAAACAAACCAAAAGAAGAATTATCGAGGCAATTGACCAAATTATAGCCCACACAACCTCGGAAGCCCAACTTCGCAGGATGTCCGACCCCAGGACCCCACGTTTATTGTCCAGTCAGAGGCGGCCGATTTATGAGCAGATCGGAGTTGGGCCTAGTCTCCGATCTACGTATAAATTTGTATAAATTTGTATACATATGGTATTGTATGAGTCTATATTTGTATAAATATGTAGTTTTATGTAGTTTATTTACGATGTAACTAGTCCACGGGTGTAAACAAGGAGAGTCATCGCATCATCCACAGCACTGACGTCATACATATACTATAAAAGCAATCTTAGACACCTTGAGCTTCTATTTCATTTCAATTGTACAAGTTTTTCATTGCAATCCTTTCTGAACATGGCCACTGACGTGAGAATCGCCCAGGCAATAGGGACGCTTGGCTGTGCAGCGGCGGCAAGTGAGTAGCATCCCCTACGCAACAGATGACCAAACACTCACAGTATACAAGGCGGCATTGCTACATTGTCAATAATGAGCGTTCCAAGTATCGTCCTTCCAGCTCGTCATCCACCAAGTGCAACACTGCCATTTCAAGATACACCAGGAACCCCAACCGCCCACTTGACACACCAGTGGCTCGATATGTATGATCGTGGCAGCAAGATTTTCCCCGGTATATCCGCAGTATCTTCACTCGCAAACCTGTATGCCCTCTGGGCATTGCGGGACTCCCCTACCCCTGCCCCGGATATCTTTGGGTCCAGCTGGTCCACATGCTATTTGCTTGCTGTGGGAGTTACGATGAGCATTGCACCTTTTACGGTCACAGTCATGAAGAAGACAAATGCCAAACTGAAGGCTCATGCGAAGCGCGATGATGCGGCCGGCGCTGAGGGTACTGAAAGCATGGTGGTTAGTCCGCAGGAGAAGGCCAAGCGGGCTAGGGATGATAGCGAGGTGATTGAACTTTTGAAGCATTGGTCGCAGTTGAATTTGATCAGGGCTGTATTTCCACTTGTTGGGGCTGGCATTGGGTTCTATGCTGCTGTCTCCAGTTGGATAATTCCTTGAACAGGAATACTAAAAGCTGTGGCGGTTTGAACTTTTCTGCTGTTTGTTAAATTAGCCCACGAGTCCTATATGATTCCTGGAGGGAACATTTGAAAGTGCAATGTTCAAGTATGGGTATCGTCAAATTTCTATTGGGCTTGCAAGTTGCATATCTACTGCGGCTACCCAAGTAATTGTATATTTATATAAACATGCCAGAGAAGAGAAGGACAGTATATAACCCCGAGAGCATTCAGAGTGTGATACGTGTGTCTTAGGGTTGCTGTCATGTTGAAGCAGGCTTTATGTCCTCATCCTCGTTCGTATCTCTTGCACCATCGCCCTCTGTGGACTCTTTCTCAATGGTGGACCATTGCTCTGAATGCTGCAGTGCTTCATCAGCGCTGATCTCCTGCAACGGGCTTGATTTGTCCAATGAGTCTGCTTGGTGAAGATCTGTCCCGCGGGCCTCACCATCCGGTTCTCCGTCAATGGCAAAGCCAACAATCTTCCCAGTACCAGGCTGCGACCGTGCCTCTTCTAGCACATCGCCATTCCAAGGCTGACACTTCTTAACAAGTTCACCACACCGGAGGCAAGGCCATCCCTGGCCTTCTTCTGCTTCGACTTTCTGCACAATACAGACGAAGCAATAGATACAACCGCAAGGGACAGTCTCGTATGGGTTTGTGATGTCTGTTTGTGCGGATCCTACAATACCCCCTGACGCGGAGGCCGCCATGGCATCGCTTTCTGTTGTTGCGGTAGGGTTCTGATCGCGGTAGCAAATAGCACATGTTCGCTCTGGGAGGAAGGCCAGCTCTCCTTGTTTTTCGGAAACCTCATCGTCATCCCCACTTGACCGGACAGAATTGACCATCTTATGCCAGGCACGGGCGATCCATCGCCGCCAGCGACCAATTCCAACAAGAGGAAGGAGAAAAAGAAGGAATTCGGTAAACGCATGCCAAACGAGTTGACGGTTTAAATATTCGAAGGATACTTCCCGGCTAGCCTGTGCAGACGGCGGAGTAAGACGGATGCGAAGGATGCGATCGACCAAGGTACGGTATCGGCCATTCACTAGGAACACCAGGAAAGAGACGAAGGCGGCAATCGAGTGCGATGTCGACAGCATGTCCGTTAGCCGCGACAGCATTCGAATGTCCTGCGATGGCTTTGTAGTATCTGTTAGTAAAACATCACCAACAGAGAGCAATATGTCGGCAACTAACCTCATCATAGCCACCTTCTTGTCCCACCAACCAGCTCTCCCACTTGTCCCAAGCATATCGCCCTCCAACTGTCAATAAGCCATAAACACTCTTCTGCCATTTTGTCGGAGAAGAGTAAACGGGACCTTTGCTTCGACTATCGGTGTATTTGAGGCCTTGTAGCGCCGCACCATATGATGCATTGTGATCCCATATTGATAGTTTGAAGAGGATAGCCCGTAACGCGAACAAAATCTCATGTGACCAATCTTCGCGCATTTGAGGCTATTATTATTGTTAGCTACTCGTTATCACGACACTCAAGATATTCATTCGCCAAGCATTCAGACGTACCCCGAAATATTTGAGGGCATCCCCGACCTGGCCTTTCATTAGACCAAGCAGCTCCTCGTCCAACAATTCAGCATCCACCTGGCCCACTCGAAATGCGGGGCGCGTACCATCCCGACCTTTGATGGAATTCCATATCCGCCACCCCGAGCTGGGCAATCGATTCAATGGATATGGCAGACGCTGGACGGTGGCCGGGCTGATCGGAGAGGCCCGCTGCTGTGCTGCATGGCGGGCGCGCGCCTCAACCTCACGCTGGCGGCGACGTTCAAGAACCCGTTCTTGTGCGGCGGCGAAGTTTGTTGAACTCATCGCGAAATCATGACGTGTTTGTAGAGGATGGGAGGAAACGAGTTGGGGATTCGTGAGAACACGGGGAAATGGGTCCCGGAGTTGCTCATCGACCGCGCTCGGTTCCCCAGACGGAAGAGCCGAGGTATATCACGTGACTTTACCTTTTCCGATGCTCTTTTGGAAATTGTGCGTAGTGAAGGATTTCATAAGTCCTTAGTGACACAAGCAGGATTCTAATGTGTATCTGCTTAGGTACAACGTTGTATTGGAAAGCGTTGTGGTGGGCTCAGAAGACCCTTGGATATATATACCCCTAGGCACATCAACCCCAATCACGGAATTTGATCAAGACATCTATGACTAAAAGCCTATCATTGACTCAAATGACCGATGAGATGCTCATTTCCAACCGGTATTGCCCAATAAAGATGACAGCTATGCCAGAGATGTTCTTTGCTTTGAGACTAAGGACTAAGAACTGGGTCTGAAATGGCAGCCCTAATTGAAGACCTGAAGTCTGCCCAGGTGATGGATTTACTGGCATGTTTATAAATCAAACTATCGCACAGTGCCGAGTGGGCCTTCTGGCTAAACTTCCCTTTTGCTTGGTTTATTATTGTCAAATCTGTCAGTCTGTTCAGTATGGCATCTATACCGAATGAGTCTATCGAGACTCGGTTGTCCATTAACGGCGAGGCAGGAATCAACTACGTTTATACCCCTAACTGCTATCTGCATACCAACCATACTTTTTTATACTAATTCAAATGGCCGGGAGGGGCTTCCGTATAGTCTTGACAGTTTTCTTGAGACTAAGAGTATCTTGATCAAGACAGCACAGCACGTCTATGATAGATATCTAGTTTAACCGGAGCCATGGTTGGCAAAGGATGCGTGATTTCCGGGTTATGGAATAATACTCATTTCACTTTCGCTTTTATTTTGCGGTATACTTCACATATTCAGCCTTCGTGTCAGAGTATTGACATACCCAAGATTATCTATCATTCGTTCCTCGGTACAATGAATCGGCCGATACAAAGGCTACATTAGAATTACTTCTAACAGTCTTTTAATGAAAACAGCAATATCAGAATGATAACGCGTTTGATTTCATAGCTAAAAATTAAGATATTTGTCTCCAGATAGAGATTTCTGTTCGCGTTTTACTTCTCCGAAATTTGGAGAAAACATTCCTTCCTAATCAATCGGTACCGCATTCGCAAGTATCTGGATGAAAAAGCGTCATGAGATCACAGCCACCCCCGGCCGACTAGTAAGAATGGATGAAGAACAGTTTAATCAGAAGGAGTAGAAAGTGATGGCCAGCAGGGCCCCGAGCACGACAGTAGTGATAGGAGCCGTGGCAGAAACACCAGCGCTAGCCTGGGTAGGGCTCGTTGTTGTAGAGTTGGTCTTGCTGCCCGTGGTCTCGTTCGAGCGCTTGGCGGTGACCTTGTCGTTGTAGTGAGCCTTGGCACTCCATGGGTACGGCTTGGTATCGTATGTGGTGTTCAGGTGTCCATAGGTTTTCTTGACGGCCTCCAGGATACCGTGACCAGCGGAACACTTCTCCTTGCTGTCAGTGATGGGAATCGGCCACTCAGGACTGAAGGTGGAGGTATTGCCAACGCTCGTGTCACCAATCGACAGGGGACCAGGGTAGGTCTGGTTAAGCGTGAGGTGGGTCTTGTCGACCTCGTAGTTGGCGTAACCTGTCTTGTTGGCGACAATCTGCAACAGGTTGGCACCGCAATCCCAGCGACCCAGGGAAGGAAGACCCCAGTTGGCGGAGACACTGGCAATGGTGGAGTAGTGAGTGTAGAAGGTATCGTCCTTGGTACCCTTGAGGTGTTTAGGAATGGCACCGCCTACGAGGACGCTGAGGATACGGTTGCCATTGGTGTAGGTCTTGTCCTCATCGAAGGTCAGAAGAAGAAGAGTGTTGTTGTAGAAGTACTCGTTCTCGAGCAACTTGGACACCCAAAGACGCTCCCACTTAGCAGAGAAAGTGATGTTGGTGTCATGCGCATCATTGGTCATGTTAGGAGTGATGAAAGCCCACTGAGGAAGCTTCTTGTCCTGGACATCATTTTCAAAGTCATCAAAGCTCTTGATTTGACGTGCACGGCTGCTGTTGGACACAACAGAGTCATAAAGCACCATTGGGTTGTGCTTGCGAACGTAATCGGGGGCATAAGTTTCCTGGTTAGAATAGTTGTAGCCCTGGAAACCGGCATAGGGAATGTGCTCTTGGTATTCGGCCCACGAGACGCCCTTGGTGTCAAGCAGATCAGCAATGCTAGAAACGTTGCCAGGGACTTGTTTGAAGTCATCATTATCCATTCCAAACGTGTCACCGCCAGCGGCAGCGCAGTAGTTGGGCTCGGAGGGATGAGTGACAGCATAGAAGTTGGTCCTAAAGAGCATGAGCACAGGTCCTCTCACTCATAGCCCAAGTCATTAGAAACCTACAGCAGAATACCCTCGGAAGCAAGCCACTGCATGTTGGCATCAGCGGCGGCGTCATCGTAGTCCTATGAGCCCGTTAGTCATGGTGTCTCAGAGACTGCAAGAATGTTCTGAGAGTTTGTCACGTACAATGTTCTCAAGCCAGACTTGATAAAACCGGTCAAAAACCAGGCCCTTGACATCAGAGGTGGTAACCTCCGGCTTGGTAGTTGCGGCAGCCGCGTGAATGTCCGCGACAGCGGGCTCGGAGGTGGTAGCTGTCTGAGCGGTCGCCAGAGCAGCCACTCCCATCAAGACAGCAAGAACAGCTCTCATTTTGATGGATCTCACAGAGAATCAATGAAAGATTGATGTAGCTGATGAGATGAGGATAAAACAAGATGAGGAGGATGAGGATGGTGAGAGAAAGAAAGAAGAAAGGATCGTCAAGAGAGGAATGCCAGAATATGTATGGAAGTTTCGAAGCTAAGGGGTCAGTCACCACACGTGCATCTTACATCGGAGATAAAACTCAAGAGGAAGGTATACCTGACAGGTACGTGAGGTATTACATTCTTACCGGCCTTTTTTAAGTCTCAAATTGGTACTTCGTACTCTGTACCTGATTGTTGAGTTGAAGTTTAGGTAGAGCAGCGGTTGTATGATGCGGGCACATGGAGCCATGGAGCCCTATGATTGGTCGGAATTTACAACAGTAAGGGGCCCACGTTAATATCAACCTTGGAAGGCGAATGCTTAGCCGATTAGCGAATCCATGGCAACGGCCCCGGAGTCCGGGGTCCGACCTTCCCGATGTTCTTCCTCTACCTTTACAATATCTTTCGACAGTGTAATACGTACCTTTACCAACACACGTAGAGTACGGAGTGTAGAGTACAGATTACGTACATAGTAAATCTATCCATAGATGTGCTTATGCACCTGATTTCTTGTAGTTTCCATTAGTGAGACAGAGCCAGCTAAAGTGGAGACTCATAGGGCGCTAGGGTGCCCAGGTGGTGGATTTCTTGAGATAAGCTGACTCGGATGCTTAGCCCAACGCTTAGTGAGTGGGGAACGCTTGGGGGCGCCCAGGCAAATCACTGAGCTGTACCTGGGGGCGTGCTAAATTCCAACCAGTGATCAAAATGTATTAACAATACATATGTGAGCACTAAAAAGGAACCTTGGAAATGGACCCAGGAGTGGCAGAGGCATTTTTTTATGTAGGTGCATGTAGCATGTAACTACAACATAGTTAGCAGGTAACTACTCCGTACACACGTATGTATTCATATGTAGGTTTACTCTAACAGCATATTTATAGGGCTGGGGAAATATTAGGATACACCTTGGAAATGCCTACTAGGGCAGTTTCTCACCTGAGTAGTTGTCGGGGAGTACAGGTAAAGCCACCGCTTGGCCATTTTGAGATTGGGTCATAACATAAAATGAGAATTCCAAAACAATAAATTGGAATGAGAATTGTCTGTGATCCTATAAATTTCACAAAGGACAATCACGTAAAGCTTCTACCTGGGGTTGTTGTTACACGTGGGGTCCGAAATGTTATCCGTTGTCCTAGTTCGGAAGGTAACATTAGCGAGGCTCATTCTATGCACCATCCATGCATCCCAGGTTTAATGTCTGAATTATTCAGGTATAGGTTGAGTATTGACCTCGGAAAAAATACTATTAAACGATGAAAACTCCAATTTCCATTATCATACAGATCATCAGGTATCATTTGCAGTATGTATTTTTGCCGGGAAATTCTGCGATAATTTCATATTCTGAGGCTCGAAGTATCCTCATCACCACCATGGTTCTCGGTTTACATCTTGATATCATTCTCTTGGGCCGCCAGGGCCTTCGAACTGATTTGCCTTAGCGAGTCTAGAAGGGACGGAATGTTAACAATGTGAACGATTGACAGCCCGCGGAGAAGCGGCGTGTAGCTTACCTGTTGCGGTCATCACGAATGCCACCCTCTTCATCGAGAATCACGCGGTGGTCGCTGCCAGAGGCAGTTGAGCCAGGGCCGTACTTCACACTTGTGGGCTGAGAGAATCGCTGGTCGACCATCTCGTCAACACCAGACTCAACAGCTTGGAATATTATTAGATAAATGGCACCGATTAAGATCCGATTCACCACGTACTTGAGTCACTCTTTCTGCTGCGGCCTTGCTTGGCCTGGTGGGAGTTAAGGTCCCTCTCGGCGTTGAATCCTACATGCTTCAATTCTTCGGTGGTAGGCATGTTGTTTGAAGATTTTTATATGTTGTTGTATATGTAGATAACTTGATGTTTGGGTGTTTAAAATGATTGAGCCTAGAGATTGCCATCTACCTTGCACTTTATATATATATATCGCCCCACCCACATCATACCTACTTCACCTCAGATTAGGAAATGTAGTTGCATCATGCTACATCATAGATATGTCACAAGTGGAGGAATATACATATAGCCTTGTAGGTGAATCGAAAGATTTTTGCTCGAAAACGACCTTGGAAGTTGTCGATCACAGTTTGGTAACACCCCGAGCAAGCTGGTTGAGGCTGGGCATCCTGAGGTCATTGTCTCCACTGAGGGGGACATCAGCCCTAGCAGCATATCTGAATCGAGACGGAGGTTAGGGTCCAGCCCTAGGGTTCAGCGGGACCGGAGTATGGCTTTTCCGGAGGCGGGGAGTTTATGCTGGATAGGGAGCTCCGACGAGACATGGCAGTTCTTAGATCAATTAACATCTTGGAACTCACACAGAGTTCCTTTTCATGAATGTCTAGTGATTTAGGTCACTCCAGTGAAACCCTGACCTGGTGCTTTTTTTTAAACAGAACTACAAGCTTTGCAGGTCGTCTTTCACGCGTTGATCAACACTGCTATTCGCCATGGCTTTCGCCATCGAAGTGCAGGGCGAGACCAACCCACTCAACCCCCAAAATGTGCTCAATACACTAGTGCTTGCTGCAAGCTCATCTCAGCAGCAAGTTCGGACGGGCACTGAACAGCTTCAGAACTGGGAGAAACAGGGCATGTACTACTCTTTTCTACAGGTATCGGTTGACAGTCTTGGTTGTTGTTGCTTCACTTAATAACAAATTTTGCAACATATAGGAAGTCTTCCTTGACCACTCCGTACCGAATGAAGTTCGCCACCTTGCCATCATCCAACTGAAGAACGGCATCGATAAATACTGGCGAAAGACAGCACCGAAGTACGTTATTGGAATATTGTCAAGATGAGGGCATGCTGACACTTATGAAAGTGCTATCAAAGCGGAAGAAAAGGAACATATCAAGACCCGGGCTCTTGGGGCAGGAATTGTTGAGCCTGCGCCGCTGCTGGCTCTCCATAACTCGTTGATGATTGCCAAAATCATGCGATTTGAGTTTCCTCATGACTGGTATGGCAACATTCAGCTGTTAGGCTTCTCATTCTAATTTCAGTCAGGCCCGATGCCATTTCGTACATCATCTCCTCGCTCCGATCCTCCGTCCAACCTGGAGCAAATCCGCTCCAACTTCCCCGAACTCTCCTCATATTGCTACAAATAATCAAGGAATTATCGACGGCGCGAATTCAACGAACGCGACACAATCTTCAATCTGCATCGCCTGAGATATTCCAGTTACTGGGAGGGATCTATGTTGACAAAATCAACCAATGGGGGCGATACTGGAACAGGGTGGTGCTGGCGAGGGGGAGTTGCTGGAGACGCTCGAATTGAGCTTGGTGTCTCTCAAGGTCCTACGGCGCCTGATCATTGCTGGATTTGAACACCCGAGTCGCAGCCAAGAAGTACAGGGCTTTTGGGAGCTGACCCATTCTCACTTCAGTAAATTCCATTCTCTTGTGGATGGGTCTACCAATCTACCCGAACCAATTCATCGGGCTATCGAGAAACATTTGCTGCAGATGTCGAAGTTGCATGTTGAAATGGCCAAAGCACACCCCGCATCTTTCGCATTGCTGCCAGATAGTATCTCGCTTGTCAAGTCGTATTGGTCATTAGTCGTCAAACTCAGCGAGAAGTATGACAGCCTTGGTGCTGGGGGTGAAGATGAAGGGAAGTCCTTGGCCGAGAAGACCGGCCTTCGGGCTCTGCTCTTGATTCGTGCATGTGCAAGAATGGCGTTCAACCCTGTTCAGACTTTCAAATACCAGACACCGGAAGACAAGGAGGAGCGAAAACAATCTGTTCAGCTCGTCAAAACGCAACTCTTTACTGAAGAATTTGTGATCAATGTCATGGAGCTACTCGTTACACAGTTCTTCAGGTTCCGCAATATCGATTTCCAAAATTGGGAAGAAGAACCGGAGGACTGGGAGAAGCGAGAGGAAGAGAATACTGATGCTTGGGAGTTCTCAATCCGTTCATGCTCGGAAAAACTTTTCCTTGATCTAGTGATCCACTTCAAGGATTTACTGATTCCACGTTTGCTGACCGTATTCTATACTTTCGCGAGTAAGTTATTGATGAGCTATACACCGTGTGCGTGACTAACATTTATACTCTAGGCACCGACAACCACAATGTGCTGTTGAAAGACTCGCTGTATTCTGCCATCGGGTTGGCGGCGGCCAGTCTTGAACATCATCTGGACTTCAACGCATTCTTGGAACATACCATGGTTGCTGAAGTTCAGTCTCAGGAACCAGAGTACAAGCTTCTGAGGAGAAGAATCGCGCTCGTGCTTGGTCAATGGGTCCCGGTTAAGGCAGGCGAATTGAACATGAACGCGATCTATCAAATCTTCCAGCATTTGCTCGGCAGGCATGATCCTTTGAACGACCTGGTCGTCCGCATCACCGCCGGTCGACAACTCCGGAGTATACTGGACTCATACGAATTTGCAGCGGGAGCATTTTTGTCATTTGCGCCTACCATTTTGGAGAGCCTCATGTCTCTCGTTCAAGAAGTCGAATCCTCGGAAACGAAGATGGGGCTTTTGGAGACAGTTCGCATGGTTGTGGTCAAGATGGAAGAACATGTAAGTTGTTGCCTCGTGTTCGTCGGCGGCTCCATAACTCACAATATTAGATCACTCCCTTCTCCGATCAAATCATTTCTTTACTTCCACCGTTGTGGGAAAGCTCGGGCGAAGAACATTTGATGAAACAAGCTATTTTGACTTTGCTCTCATCCCTGATTCAATCGCTAGCACAGGAGTCTGTGAGGTATCACACTATTATTCTTCCACTGATCCAAAGCTCAGTAGAACCTGGCTCGGTAAGTCAAGTATGAATCATACTACACATGTCAGCTTAGCCTAACTTTCCGTCAAGGAAACCATTGTTTACCTTCTAGATGAGGCACTGGATCTATGGCATGCCATAATCCAGGCTACGCCATCTCCTGCCTCACCGGAGATCATATCACTCCTCCCGTCTTTGTTCCCCATTCTCGAAGGAGCAACCGATAGCACTCCGCAGGCCATTCATATCCTCGAATCTTATGTGTTCCTGGCGCCGCAGGAGATCCTTAGTGACCGGTTCCGCTTCCAACTCCTGGTGATCCTTGAATCACTCCTCAAATCCACAACCTCTCAACGTCTCGGTGTGATACCTCGCCTTGTTGATTTGATGCTTCGCGGTGCCGAGACCGTCGACGGCGGTAGCGAAGCAACCTATGCCGTCATTTCCCAATCCCTTCTGGACAGCTCATTCCTTGCCTCCCTGCTAGAAGGCCTCTACTCTGCCCACGAAGCTAGTCAGACGTCTGGCCCAAAGAGAAAGTCAACACCTGTGGTCGGTGTCGTCGAAAGCGATTACTACTCTGTGCTAGCACGCCTTGCGCTCGCCAGCCCTACCATTTTAGCCTCATCGGTCGCCGCCGCGACCAACTCATCCGAAGAACAATCTCTGACCTGGATCTTGACCGAATGGTTTTTGCACTACGACAACATTGGCAGCATTAACCAAAAGAAACTCCACGTACTTGCCCTCACCCAACTCTTGGCCCTACAAGGAGCCCCACTCGATCCGTCTTTACCCCCTCCACCCCCTGCCTACATCCTTTCTCACCTGCAATCATACTTGAGCGTATGGACCGATCTCATCACCGAGTTAGCAGACGGTGGTACTGACCCCGATGCCGATTATCTGGTCTGCTGGAATGCACCAGCCGGGTCAGCAACCGCGATGCCAGAAAGCACCCAAGAGGTCGAGTCGCCTGAGATCATCCGTCGCCGTGACTGGCAGTCTGGTGATGCAATCCATCGCTTCAGGATTCGAGACTTTGTGCGTCATCGTCTACAAGAGGTTATTGCTGGCTGTGGTGGGGCGCAGCGGTTCCAGGATGAGTGGCTAGTCAACGTTGACACCGAAGTTGTTTCGGCATTTGGTGCACTTGGGTTGCTCTGAATCAAGTAAGAAGACTTTGTCTATTATGACATCAGTGGCATACTTTTAAAAAACATTTGCGTTGCCACCATTACATTGTACATGCTTATTACAGCCTCATATTGTTCTATTTTCATGGCCACTGGGTCCATTCCTGTTCACCTTTTAGCATTATCAGAACCCCAGCTACATATCCCATCTCATAAGATATTCTTTTAAGCTTATTGTATTCACTGAGTAATAGGTCTTTCATAGGTCTTTGAGTATTCTATGTTGCGAATGAAAATCAATTGTTGGGATTCAAACGCAAGTAACGAGCCCCCCTGTGTCAGTTTTCTTTTCGGGCTCTACAATGTATAATTATTTCATTTGTTGGAAAGGAAGATAACACAAAAAAGAAGAAGAAAGACCTACCAAAACATGTCTTTCTCTTGAGAAAGGAGTAGGTATCGTGTACATTCCAGTAGGTATGCCCCAATGTCACCTTTTTGAAATAAAGTTAAGGTTGTCCCGGTAAGCTCCACATGTACCTTCCAAGATTGGGGAAGTTAGTAATTTAGGTAGGCACGTAGGTAAATTGGCTATCATTCAGGGGAAAGAGTAAAATAACACCAAGAAAGCCAAAATAATTATCGGTTGAATTGTCAGGTTCACAACTTATGTAACCAGCAAGGTCTAAAAATGAATCACACTATAACACCAGAGGAACCAACTCGCTTACACGCAAGCCCATCAGACCATCGAAAGAATATAAATCGGGACTGGACAAACAGTTGGACAAAAGAAAACCCAAAGGATGTCAAAATTAGTAGCATCCTCCAGGCTGCATTTCAAAAAAAAAAAAAAAAAACAAGTTTCAAAAACGAGAACAAAAAAGCACATAACTGCTAGTGCTCAGCACTGACCGGGGAATTCACGGCTGGTAACAGGGTTGGGGAAGACGCCGCCAGCGATTTGCTGTTTCATGTCCCACTCGGGGGCACCCTCAGTCTTCCAGGTCCAGTAGAGCCAGCCGCTACCCTTCTCATAAGCATCAAGTTGACCTTCGATGAAGCGACGGGTGTTGCTTCGGTCCTCCTCAGACAGAGCCTCCACGGATCCAGTTGACTTGCCCTCACAGCTTCCGATGTGTTGACTACCAGAGAAAGTGCCGTCGTAGCGGGCACCGATGCCCTTTCCGTTCAGGTATTTGGCACAGTCGGTCATAGCACCAGTCCACTCACCAACAACAACCCACTTATCAGAGGTCACAATGTGGTCTTGGGCAAAGCTGCAGACGTTGCTGACGTGGGTTTGGGTGTCCATGGCAAGAAGACCGCTGTCAAACACTTCGTAGTGGTGGGTGTCCATCATCACATACCAGACACCGCTAGATTCGCTCATAAAGCCGTTCCATGATTCCGTAGGCATGAAACCGTCATGCAGGACAAGTGTGGTGTCCTGGTTTGCCTTTCGGAGAAGACCCCATGTATCGTAGTAGAACTGCTTCAGACCATCCTGGTTCACTCCACCTGGGACGCTGGGCTCGTTCAAAGCCTCGATCGCAGTCACGACATCTCCATCGCCTTCGTAGCGCGCGGCAAGGGCCTCCAGCGCATCTTTGGTTTGTTCAACAGTATCACCCTGTTGCCACTGAATAGCGCCGCGTTTTCCACTGTTGTCAAAGCCATTTTGAGAGCCAGGGGCTGTGTTGCTGGTCAGTGGTTGTCATATGATATATAGGTGCGAAAAAAACATACCTCCATGTAGGTCAAGAACGACCTTGAGACCGGCGGCGCGAGCCCAGCCGATGGCCTGGTCGAGATACTCCAGCTGACCATCGATGAATTGGTCACCTTCCACATGCTTTAGGGCCCAGTATCCCACGGGGATTCTGACGTGGTTCATTCCTGCGCTGGCGATTTGGGTCAAGTCGTCGGCGGTGATGAAACTGCTCCAGTGTTGGGATAGAACAGAACGACATTCGTCCGCACCCAAAGTCTCACAAAGGGTCCACTCATCCACAGCGGCATCGCCAGCTGCCTCAAAAAGAGATGGAGTGATCCAGGGCTCTGTTACAAGCCAACCACCGAGGTTGACACCTCGGACCTTTTCACTACCGTAGTCGAAGTTTAGGCCACTATACACCGACGTATGTTAGTATCTGCAAAGACACAGGTACAGCAGAACTATAGTGCTGATAGGGAGGTACTACTCACACTGTAGGCGCGGCCTGCACTAAGGCTGCCAATAAAGACAGCCCAAGCAAGGACTTCCGCGAGAACTTGGACATGGTA